ACTGAACCTTCTCCATGTTTAACTGTGCCCTTAGTATTTTTAATAGCAACTTCTTGATTTGGCTTTCGCCAAACATAAGACTTGCCGTCAGATCCGTGTAAATTAAATTTACTCTCATCTGTATCAATAACCTATAAATTGTGCAATATAATTTTGTTTTTGTAATTTTGAACTGTTTTCTATAACTTACCGTGTTCCAGAACTCTGACGATTTAAGTAAATAGTCTTTAGCAAAAACGATTCTTAGCTTCTTGTTCTTGTTGCTAATGAACGGCTTATTCCGAGCGATTCCACCATGGAAATCATTTTTACGAAGAATATTACGTACAGTCTCATCACATACTGTAACTCCAGATCTTTCCTCCAACTCTTTTTTTAACTCTTTAACGGGTTTAAAAGGATTTTTCTTAACTTCTATTAATATTTTGCGCTCTTCTCGTGCTAATATCTTTTTGCCTTGACCTTGCCGCGACTTATATTCCAATCTAAATTCGTCCCTATACCTTTTAATTATATCGTGCACCGTAGATTTTCCTTTCCCGACTATTTCAGAAATTTCGCGTACCAATTTTCCCTCAAAATTTAATTTTATAATAAGTTGACTAGAAATACGTCCTAAGTGTTTACCTAAAGGCGCCATCACGTGCAAACTTCAACAAAAAATCTCACAATGTTCATCACCTCAAATATTATAACTGTTATCAATGTAACGTCTTTTTTTGTTGCTTCTTTTGCACTATTATGACAATATTGTTAAGTGTCCAATTATTTGTTTGTGCTAAGGAATTCTGATTTATTTTGCTTTTTTTAAATTTGTTTTGTAAATATGAATTTATTCTTGTTTTTTTTTATTGTATGAAAAAGGAGAGATTCGAGAATACTCACCATAAAAATTGAATCATTGTTGTTCTTTTCTCTGTTTTTTTTCTTTCAACTAAAATAAACTTTCGCTTAAAAATCATGGTCCGATTATGCGTTTGAGCCACTGTATGTATATATGTCTGTCAGTCTGAACTATTTTATAGTTGTCAAAAAGTTTATCTGTCGAAGGCCGCATTTCCATAGTTACCTTGATCTGAATTTTAGCGATTAGGTTTGTACGCTTATTATCAATATTTTTTTTCTTTGTTTTTTAAGTGTTTTCGTGTACCACTTCATAGGACCCTTCTTTCCACCACTATTCCTTTGATAGATTGTTTTGAATATTATTATTTTTGCTCCTGAATTGTACCTGATTTTTTATATTAATTTTTGTTTTTGTTAAAATTAACACCAGCAATCGACTTGTATTGTTAATGTATATACAATGGAATTGTACCTAATTTTTTTATATTTATTTTGCTTTTTGTTTAAATATTTTCCAGTTGATTGTTTTGACATACATATATTGTCAATGTTATATTTTTAATGTAAGTAATATTCATGAATTGTATCTCAGCTGTGAAAAATTCTTGGGAAACAGCTGATTCTTTTGTTACTTGTAGGCTTATACAATGCAATATGCAAATCGTAAGTGGCTGGCAGAAAGCGATTTTGGCAGCTAAAAATGTGGGCGTCAATGGGTTAAATTTAAAGATTAAACAGTTGTTGCCTGGGGACTTGGTGTCATACAAATCTATCGATGCAGTTTGCGATACCAACGAGACTGTGAATTATCCAATTGAGTTTTTAAATTCATTGGATTTCCCAGGCATGCCACCACATCATTTACAATTGAAGGTTGGATCTCCGATTATTCTGGTTCGCAATTTAAACCCACCA